AAAAAAAAAAAAGAAAGACAGAAAAAAAAATACTTTCGTCTAAATGAAACAGAGATCAGCTAGTCCAGAGTTCAGCATTTCAGAAAGGAGGGGGACTCAAATGATCCTCTGAGAACATCACTGTACCTGAGGCACAGCCATTTCTGAATCCTTTTCTTTCCTCTTCTGGGCTTCTTCTTTGTGTAACTGGATTCTTTAGAAGTCAATCCTGAATAAGAAAATACTCTGTTTATTGTTTAGAATCAACACACTTCCTCCCTGTGACACAACCACTCACACAGGGAAAACCTTGCCCTGCGGAAAGGCAGGTCCTCTGCTGCCCACTGCACCGAGAGGGATGCAGGAACAAGATGCTCCTACAGAAAGAAAAACTGGTGATTCTCTGACCCCCTCACCAGAGCCTCCCTCCCTCCTGGTGACATCCTGCACACAAGGCAGGAGAGGACAGCTGTGCTGCATTGAGCTCCCCTCCAGGGCATAGCCCCAAACCTGAGGCAGAGCACAGGTCCTTACCTATCTGTGATCACAGACTGATCACAGACTGATCCCAGCCCTCAGCAACAGGGGACACAGAACCTTTGTGCTCAGTGCTAGATATACACCGGACATACCTGGTCACTAGAACCATTACTAAAGGTGGGTCCAAACCTGACTGTGTGAAGGGGAAGGGACCAGGAGAGATGTATTTGAAAAAAAGCCTCCACAGTCAGCTTGTCGCCTATGGCTCAAGCAGTTAAGGTGCCAGGCACATACACATGAGCAGCCAGGTTCGAATCCAGCCCAGGCCCACCAAACAACAATGACGGCTGCAACCAAAAAATAGCAGGGCGTTGTGGGGGGGCGCCTGTAGTCCCAGCTACTTGGGAGGTGGAGGCAAGAGAATCGTTTGAACCCAGGAGTTGGAGGTTGCTGTGAGTTGTGATGCCACAGCAGTCTATCCAGGGCAACAGCTTGAGGCTCTATCTCAAAAAAAAAAGCCTCCACAGTCTAATGCAGAATTAGGTGCAGTGGTTCTCAACCTTCCTAATGCTGCGACTGTTTAATATAGTTCCTTGTGTTGTAGTGATCCCCAACCATAAAATTATTTTCGCTGCTACTTCATAACTGTAATTTTGCTACTGTTATGAATCATAATGTAAATATTTGATATGCAAGATGTGTTTTCCAATGGTCTTAAGGGTTGTGACCCACAGGTTGAGAACCAGTGTGTGATACTAGGCCTCAGGTTCACTCAGAGGGGCAAGGCCAGGACAACTCCCACCTTCTTGGAGACCTGTCACTAGTGTCCTAAAAGTGAATGGCCAAGGACTCAAAAGAAATACATAGCTCAAACAATATGGACTATCAGGGACCTGATGGGGGTTAAGAGGTGGCTGAAAAATTAAACAGGGGAAAGACGTCCTCTGTGAGAAGTTGGTACCAGAACAAATGTGTAAGGAAAGAAGGGTGCTTGTTACCTGCAGCCAACAGGCAGAAGAGTTCTAGAAAGATAGACATCCACCATTACGGCCCTGAGGGGGAGCAATGTGGGGAAGAGAAAGAGGCCCATGTGGCTGGAGCAGAGACAGGGAGGCCAGAGAGGTCCTGGGCAAGCAAAGCAGGGAGAACCTAGGCCTGCACACTTAAAGGATGTGGTTCCCCACCTCTTATGAGTAAACATGTACTCTTTTTCCTTCCTTTACATAACAATGCGCTTAATACACTATTGACTATCATGAGTCAACTTGGATTTTCATATCCAAATGTTGTTGACCAATCACAAGTTATCACGTGTTTGCACTTGCACTAGGTGTTTCATTTTTT